TAATTTTTAAGGTTTTCACTGACCTCTGCAGCAAGGCTCTAGGCACTGACAATGCAAGAAAAGTGTGTACAGCCACATCTGCACCTTTGCTATGACAAGACCAGTCACAGCACCTATGCCAGTGAAGTCTGAGTTGCAGGTACAACAGGAAAGTGGTGGTAGAGTCTTGCCAGAACCAGGAGGAAGCCCAGAAGTCCTTCCCAAATAAAAACAGACATATAGTCTACTCCTTAGCACCTCTCTGATGGGGGATATCCTTCTGTATTTTGTGAATATATGTTCCTCTTATTGGTTGATGAATAAAGCTGTTTTGGCCAATGAACAGACAGGATTTAGCCAGGGAGGAAATCCAAACAGGCATAGAGAAAGGTAGTAGGCAGAGTCAAGCGACACCATATAGCTACTGGGAAGATAGGACACTCATGCATTCTCCAGTAAGCCAAGACCATGTGGAGATACATGGATTAATTGAAAATAGGTTAATAATTAAGAGAGAACTAGCCAAGAAGAAGCCTGAGCCATAGGCCTAACAGTTTATAATTAATATACGCCTCTGTGTGTTTATTTGGGACTTAAGGGTGGCAGAACCGGGCTGGACAGAAACTTCAATCTATACCTCTCTTCTAGTTCTATTTCTCCTACCAAGTGGGCTTGGTACTTTAGGTTACTACTACTTTAGGTAACTTACATCCTATCTGGTAAATCCAGAAACAGGGAAAGGAAAGGAAAATCCATGAGATTATGGACACACTTCTGTATGTACATTCACATGTCAGGCTCTTCAGGAAGAGAGCCAGGCTAGGAGCCATGGAGTCATAATGATAGTCATAGCTTCTAGACCTCTCCACAGCTTATTACAGAAGACAGTGGTAACGTGAGAATGGGGTGCATTCACCTGTTGTTACCTGCAGCGAGTGATGTTCTATTTCATGCCACTAGAGGGTGCAAGTTATGATTAGAGTATAGCTCTGTTGATCCGCATTTAAATTTATGCCTTGATAGTTCACTGGACACCTGGACTGTAGCTTATCCAGTGATTCCTAGAACACCTGGAAATGCTTTAGAACCGCTTCTTCTTGAAGATTTTAAAAACAATCCCAGCCAAGTAAGCACAGAGCACTTGCAGACTGTTCCAGAACTGATTTAAAATTGTGTGGCCAAAAATGATTTGCTTTACCTTGATTTTAACATCGAGTTTCAGTTGCTTCACCTGAAGCATCATTAATAAGTTCTCATGGGCACGCTTGACTTTTGTGACAAATTGAATAACATGGTGAACCATCCATTAATTGCTGACATCCATTTAACAAATGGAATTTTTCCCCTTCAGTAAAATTCCTATCAATCTTATCCTAGATGGGAAAAAACATACACACTAAGATTTATGTCAATTGCTTATTAGAATGTATTACACATAATACTGGATTTCATTATTACCCTTTCATGCACACATTTAATTTATTTTTATTATATTTACCTCTTATTACCGTCTCTTGTACTCCTCCCATAACTACTCATCCTCTTTTTCTTCCTAACTAGTCCTCCTATTTTAATGTCTTTATTTATTTATTTATTTGGTGACACAAATAGTCTCATTGGGTTGTGTAGGTACAGGATTATTTATAGGCAGATAAGTACCTTACCAGTGGCTACACCACTAAAGGAAAATACTGCCCCCAGCAACCATTAACTGCTTATAGATCTTCAAAGAGGGGTAAAGCTTCATGAACCTCTTCCCATTCTATAACAGGATAGTGATGGGCCAATCTTGTGTATTTTTGTGTAAGTAGTCACAGCTGAGATCCTGAGTATAGTGTTCATGCTGTGCCCAGAAGACAGTGTTCCACAACACTCTACCCCTTCCTCTGGCTCATTTCTTTTTCTTACTCTTCCTTCTCCTCTTCCTCCTCTTCTTCCTCTTCCTCATCCATCATTTGGGACCAGGTTTCTCTATGTAGCTCTAGCTGTCCTGGAACATGCTTTTTAGACCAGGCTGGCCTTGAACTCAGAGATCTACCTACCTCTGCCTCCTGAGTGCTGGGATTAAAGATGTGCACCACCACTACTAGGCTATTTCTTTGTATTCCCTCTTGTACAATGCTTCATGAGCTCCTAATAAAGTAGTATACAGGGGATAGAAATATTAAGAGTGCTATATTAGGGGCTGGAGGGATGGCTCAGAGGTTAAGAGCATCAGCTGTTCTTCCAGAGGTGCTGAGTTCAATTCCCATCAACCACATGGTGTCTCACAACCATCTGTAATGAGATCTCATGCCCTATTCTGGCTTGCAGGCATACTATGCAGGGAAAACACTATACATAATAAATAAATAAATAAATAAATAAATAAATAGTTTTTTTTAAAAGAGTGCTATATTGGACTTACTCATTGTGACCCCTTTTATGCACCCAGCAGTTACTGAAAAAGGGCAGTTGGATATGAGAATATGAAGCTCAGGGCAGAGCAGCTTGAGTGGCTATGAAGGGTTTCTTGCCTTCTCTTTAGCTTTGTCTTCTGCAATATGAAATCTTTGAATAATTTACATCCAAGCCCATTTTCATTGTAAAACTCAGATCTATGACTTCCAAGAACACTAAACAAATTACCTATTCTCTTGAATTTGGATGGGGAAAGAAATCCACATCACCTTGGATGCAATGGAATAAGACTCCTTACTATTGCCTTGTTAACGTGTATGTTGCCCTTCTACCCCCTGAGTATAGTAACACTATACTCAGGAGGTAATAAACAAATAACTATAAGATATAGGGATAAGGGCTGGAGAGATGGCTCAGCAGTTAAGAGCATTGGCCACTCTTCCAGAGTTCCTGAGTTCAATTCCCAGCAACCACATGGTGGCTCACAGCCATCTGTAATGAGATCTGGTGCCCTCTTCTGGAAAGCAGGCATACATGCAGGCAGAACACTGTACACAATAAATAAATCTTTAAAAAAAAAATACAGGGATAAACAATCACTATATAGAAATCTGTCCCCCACCACACTAATGTGACATTGGACAACCTACTACTCTATCTCCATTCCATCTTCTATAAACTGCAGGTAATTGTATCTGCCTTATGGTATCATTTTGAAAGTTAAGTAAGAAATGGCATGTAAAGTGGATAATACATTCAGTACAAGTTCCGAATGAAATGGGAGACTCTCAGTGACCCTTTTAAAGTGGAATTGAATTACCTGGCTGGACACTCTAGTCACTAGAAATTGAGGGCATGAAACCTGAATTTCCTAATTGTGCAGGCATCTGATTGAGATGCCTCCATCCTCCCTTCCTCCCTCCTTCCCTCCCCCCCCCCCCCCCCCCCCCCCGCTCTCTCTCTCTCTCTCTCTCTCTCTCACACACACACACACACACACACACACACCTCAGTCCTGAATTTCTGGATGATTTTGATTTAAAACAAACAAACAAACAAAAACTATGATCAAAGCAAGTATAGTAGTCAAAAACCTAGCTCAAGCCAGATTAGAGAAGGAAAAAAGGGAGGCAAGAATTATTTAATCATAGCCAAGGAGGCCAAGAAATTATCCGGTATTGTGTCTGAATTGTTTTAAATTCTGTAGTTCCCTTCATTCCAGGCCTACATTGGTCTTATTTGGGTATGTTTTCCATGCAGCAATGCTGAATTTATACATATTCTTACAGCTATGACCCCTCTTAGCATACTTTTAATGACGCAAAATAATTGGCCCACATTTACATATAAAATTTTTACCTAAATGAGCCTGATGCTCTAACATGACATTATTTTCTACCCTGTGGTCAAGTAGATAGAGCAACCTGATTGAGATCGCCACCAAATCATGAAGAATATTGTTTTGTTCTGTTTTGTTTTTCAAAAGAGAAAACAGGCTAAGCAACCAAAAAAGTCAGAGATGGCTGCTTTAGATTAAGTGATAAAATCCCACCATGCTATTGTTGTTGTAGATAGGGATGAGCTCTCTCAAGAGCCTGCTTCATCTTAAGAAGGTTGACTTAGCAGAGTCAGATTGGGGCAGAAAATGTAAATCATTGAGGTATAGTACCTTCTTAACTTTCATTTTCTTTTCTCCCCTATGCTTTGAGGCTATCTTAAGGATTCAGCAATTAGAGGAAAGTGATTGGCACAGAGCTTCACACTCACCTGTACTTTCTGTTGTTAGCTCCATATGTTCAGCATTGACTGACTATGATGAGAAGGCCGAGGTTGGGAGACAGTTTTAAACCCATTTCAGGATAGAGAGTTGAAGCCAAATTGAAAGGAGGACTTGAGGATCAAATCAGAAGACCAAATTTAATAATGATCTTAATTTTCACAACCCACTAATTCGATACTATATTATCATTGACTTTGTGGATTTCAATGGACAATTAAATTTTTAGGCTTCTTACTTTAGGGGAAAATAAATAATTTGGGGTAGAATGATCTTCAGTTTCATCATTCATTGTTCTCAGTTATTTAAGAAGACAAGAAAGTCAAAAAGTATGTGTGCATGTGTGACTGTCTTCAGAGAGAGCCACGGGAAAATAGCATAATTTATAGTGGTTGACTTGTGTATTAGACCTGTAAAGCTGACTTAGTCGACTTTTTTTTTCTTGACTATTAAAAATCCAATTTTATAATCTACTGTTTAGATCGCTTCCAAGTATTTGTTCATCCTATCTTATATCTGTCTTGGATTTATGCAGGAAGTAATTGAGGAATTATGGTAATATTTGTCTCAAAGTCAAAACATTGGTTTGGAGATCCTGTTGTATTACTTACTTTCTGTATTACTTAGGATAAATTTACATTCCCTCCAATGGGCCTCCTTTCCTACATCTATCTAATGAGCCATTTCTCTTGTTCAGTTTTTAAGCCCTTTCCTAGGGCCTATAGTTCTGTGACTGTCACAACATAGGTGTGACAGGAATAGGTATATTCCAGAGGGAGAATTTGGTATCACCTTGCCCTTTGGGGACATTTTTTTTAACCATTCTCCATTATATTTATTGCAGGATTTCGGCTGAATGCCTCTTCTTGGCCCATGTTCCTTTTGAAGACACTAAATGGAGCAGAGATGGCCCCCATCAAAATTTTCCATAAGGTATACTGTCCTTTAGCTATTGCCATCTGCAAGCTTCTTAAACTCAAATAATCAGCCAGGCAGTGGTGTTGCACACCTTTAATCCCAGCACTTGGTCTAATCCCAGCCTGGTCTATAGATCCAGTTCCAAAACAGCCAGGACTACATGGAGAAACCCTGGCAACAAAAACAAAAAAGAGTCAAATACTTGCCTTTTTGCAATTACTGAGCCTCTGCCATCTCTATTTCTATGTCATTGAGAGTGCTTCTCAGAAACTAGTTCAGTAGAAGATTTAAAAATCTATGAAGCAGGTGTTATCTTCAGAGAATTATGTTAGACTGTAAGAATGAGACAGGAAGCCGGGAGATGGTGGCGCACGCCTTTAATCCCAGCACTCAGGAGGCAGAGGCAGATGGATCTCTGTGAGTTTGAGACCAGCCTGGTCTACAAGAGCTAGTTCCAGGACAGCCTCCAAAGCCACAGAGAAACCCTGTCTTGAAAAACTAAAAAAAAAAAAAAAAAGACAGGATTTCTGGCTTGGGGGTTCTAGCTGCCAATAACAAGCTAATCTAATACGATCTTTTCTGACTTTATCTGCAGAGTGAACGCTGTCTGCCTTACAGGGTTCTTAAGAAATCAAGATGTATTCATTAGAACTATGAAGTATAATACAAACCTAAAGGAGTAATTCTTACAGAGTTGTATAGTCTGTTCTAATTATCTGTAATATGTTTGTAGCCTTATACATATTATCACCTTTGATATCCACACCTAACTTACATTAACGAAATTAAAGTTTTTAATTGCATTTATATATGTATCTGTGTGTATGGGTGTTTTGCCTGTATTAATGCATTTGTACCACATGCATGCCTGGTGCCCATGAAGGCCAGAAGAGGATGTCAGATTCCCTGGAACTGGAATTATGGATGGTTGTGAACCACCATGTGGGTACTGGAAGCCAAACTTGGGTCCTCTGCAAGAGTAGCCAGTGCTCTTACCTACTGAGCCAGCTCTCCAGCCCCCAGAATGCATGCTTCTGAGTAAGGAACTTGCTCAGAATCACAAAGCTATTAAGGAACAGAACAGGGATGGGTAACCTGTGTTCTTTCTATGCCTTGAGGAGAGAGTGTCAGCCTGCTGGTAGTTAACTTCTCCAGTGAGGTGGGAATTACTGTAGAGATGACTGAGTTAGGTTTGCCTGTGTTGCCAGTTAAATCTAAATCATGAGAATATTCTGGTTTCCAAATATAAGATATTGGGCTACTTGAAACCTCTTTCAATGAGAAGGGGGCATATAGGGAAGAGCCAACAAAACTCTCTTCTGTGCTTTATGAAGCTTTCTAGAAAGTTAGAAAAACAACAAACAGTGTTAACCATATGTGCTAAATGCATAGCTGTCTTGGGGGCTCTGCCAATCTTACTTTGTAGAATTCTGGTGAAACATAAATTGACATTTGAACCCATGCAAGGAAGAAAGTAGATCTGGCCTGGCAAGATCCCTTGTGTTTTAGCCCTTAATGAAAACTATGATGACATTTCTAAAGAAGAAACTCTGGGAAGGAGTGGGGTGCAGCCATCTCTGATTAAATAGTCTTCTTTGTGGTTGGATTGTCTAGGAACTTCACATGATAGAGATATAACAAACATCACACACCCCAAGTAGTTTCAGACAATACAGATATCAGCTACAGGGTATCACCTAAGTATTTGAAAATGCTAAAGAACTAGAAGAAATACAAAACATTTACTTTTTAATTTAATATTTGTATTTTTATTTTATTTTGTGGGAGGGATAAATGCCATAGCATACATATATGGAGGTCAGAGGACAACTTACAGGAGTGGGTTCCCTCCTTCCACTCTTTGGGTTCTGGGAATGAAACTTGGGTTGCAGATGGGACTTGAATAATCAGGCTTGTCAGCAAGTGTCTTTAACCACTGAAACATCTCACTGGCTCAAAACGCCATTTTTAAATGCCACATTTTTAAAAGAACCAAACTAAACATCTGAATAAAACTGAGAAATTTTAAACATTTGATATTAAAGATTAATAGCACATATGTAGCTTAAAAGACATCCACTAAAATATGTAATATATAAGGAGTTCCCCCTCAGACTATAAAATGATAAAGAAATGGAAATACATGCTGAGGAGAAAAAAAAAGGAGACTATAAGGAGGGTTCATAAATAGAGATGATGATACCCAGGAATACTAGTAATAAAGAGTGAAAAGGGAGTAGTAGTTGAAAAGATCATAAGTTTTCCAGCATGTGTAATATAATAAATATATATTATAAGAATAAGGCAGCATTTTAACTGTAGGAAACTAAGGTCAAAACAGAAGATCTGGTTACGTTAGCTACATCACATTTCTCCACAGCAGCAGTCCAAACGAAAGGCAATAGACTGTGTGTCAAAGTACTAAGTCATCTACCTTGGAGTTGACATCTAGCTACACTGTCATTTCAGAATGGAGGTGGAAATCAGACTATCAAACAAACCAGTGCAGGTAGAGCCTAGCATAGCCATTAAGTATGTTTCAGTAAGAAAGCAATTGAACCACAAAGTAAGAATGAAGTCTAAGAAGAATTGGTGAGGAAATAGGTTTGTTAACATGTAGATTGCTATATACCCTAATTATAATAATCAAAGTAATCAGGAGTAAAGGCAATATAGGAATTAATTACTTATCTCAGTCCATTGTCTAGGACTAGAAAGATGGTTTAGATTTTGTCATCTATAGAGTTAAACACTTAAGGGAATCCACGAAACAATTATAATAGAATAACATCTGAATCAGTAAAGGAGGAAAGGGGGAGAAATTTCAATAAAGATGTTTAAGAATTTGTGTATCAGCTATACAGTTAAAATCTTAAGGGATCCACCAAACAGTTATAAATAGAATGTTTAACTTCTCAGTAAAAACAAAGGGAAAATAAGAAAACTTAGTTAATTTTTAAAAAGTAAAAGAGTCCTAAATTAAACTAAATAGAAACATTGACAGTAAGATATCTGTAATAAATATAGATGGGCTTAGTGGCACCTTGTTTGTATGCTGTTCAAGATTTCAGGAGGCTGAAATGGGAAAATCCATTGAGGCTTTTGGGTCAAACTGTGAAACATATGAAGATCTCCTCTCACAAATAAGTAAATAAATATTCTGATACTTTAGTTATCATGAGAAATTTTTAATTACAACATAACCATTTGTAACAGACAGTACTTAAGCGTAATAACATAAAAATATTGATAGAGCTACATGGTGGCACATGCCTTTAATTCCACACTTGGGAGGTAGAGGCAGAGGTGGGTGGATCTCTCTGCATTCAAAGATAGCCTAGTCTATATAGCAAGCTCCAGGCCAGCCATGGATACATAGTAAAACCCTATATTATACATAAAGAGAAAACAGAAAAGATAGTATCAGACAAACTTTATCAGGATAAAATTGATATAAAGTATACTTACATCAGACAGAGATACTGATATTAAAAAGCATTAAATAAGTCACTAGGTGATGATTAAAAGGTACAGTTCACCAAGAAAACAACACAATCATAGTACATTGCTCCATGAAAATAGCCTCAGAATACATGAAGGAAAAAAAAATGGTAATCAGTGGAGGTGTGGAAATTCTTACCCTAGGAAGATGTAAGCACGGTTTAGCCTCTCCTTATAAGGCCCAATGACAAAGCAAAGTTCATCCTAGGAGTTCAGTGGATTCATTGGGCATATTCCAGAGCACAATGAGGTTCTGCTTATGGAAACGTAAGTGACCTCACAGCAGCTGCACTGGAAAGTCTTCTTCATCCAGTATAGATGATAGTTTCCCCTTAGCTGCATAAGTAGGTGGAGCTCCTCTCTCCAGATAAACTCCCACAGCCTATGTACTCTAGTACCTCACTAGACCCTAAGACTGTGTGTAGTCATGGCAGAATTGCATAAAGACTGGGAAATACAGGAGAGGGTCCAGTGACCCTTCCTCTGCCCTCCTTCTCTGAGGGAATATCAACGAGCTACTAGTGCTGGTCTGTTGTAAGCAGATGCAGCTGCTCTGAAGGGCCCCATTCTACAACACACAACAAAACTGGAAAACCTGTTTTTCAGTAGGAAATATTTCCATGTGTATCTCTCAGTGACTGATAATAAAGCAGGCAGAGATTCATATCAATCAGTGAGTATCATTGGTCAACTTTTAAAGCATCATTCATTCCTACTTTATAGAAACTAATAGTTTGATAAAAAAATTTTAAATACCATTCATGTTTAAAATGGAATATTAATATGTCTAGAAAAAATGTTAGTAAAAAAGCATGAGGAACTGGCAAGATGGCTCAGTGGGTAAGAGGGCTAGCTACTAAGTCTGACAATACAAGTCTTATCCCTGGGACCCATGTGGTAGAACCCCCATAAGTTGTGTTTTAACTGCATGTGTGCTACAGCGTATACACCCCACACATATCCATACACTAAATGAATGCAATAAAAAATTAAAGCATAATATATTTATAAAGGAGATTTAAAATTTGTATAGAGGAGAAATCTATATTAAAGATGTTTTAAATGGAAAAGGCTATCATGTTCATAGATAAAGTTTAATGTTATCAGTAGTAAAGGTTTATTTCTTTTCAAATCAATCCATAAATGCATTGTAGTTCCAGTCGAGATCCAAATAAGGTTTTTCTGTCTAACTTGAAAAGCTGGTTAATTCATTTGAAAGATGAAAGAGAAAGAACAACTCAAAATAATGCTGAAGAATGATAAGGTATAGGACACTTCAAACCAGGTATTCGTTTACTAGGAGAAAAGAATAGAGTGGACAATGAATGCATTTGAAGCTTGATCTATGTAGCTTCCTTACAAACTAGAGGTCGATCTGTTTCTGTTTCTCATCTAGGAGCCACCATCACCTTCCCACAACTTCTTCAAAATGGGAATGAAGTTAGAAGCTGTAGACAGAAAGAACCCTCATTTCATTTGCCCGGCCACTATTGGAGAAGTTCGAGGCTCAGAGGTGCTTGTCACTTTTGATGGGTGGAGAGGGGCATTTGACTACTGGTGCCGCTTTGATTCCCGGGACATCTTTCCTGTGGGCTGGTGTTCTTTGACTGGAGATAACCTGCAGCCACCTGGCACCAAAGGTAAAGAGCCCCTGTAGTTCTCTAAAATCAGAGCTTAAATGTGTGAGAAATCCCCCAGGTTGGTGTGGTCAATGTGTCTTTACTAACATACTTCACTATAGGAAGGGGAAGAATCAGGGCTGGCTCCTTAGGTACAAACCCAGGGCTGCCAGAGAATAACCACTAACAGTTCAGAAATAAAATCAAATTAATCTAGACGTGAAATTTGGGATAAAGTAAAATATTCTCTCTTCTAAATATCCCAACTTATTCTCAGGCAACTTCTAGTTTTGCCCCTAACCCATTTCAAAGTTTGGAAGTGTCATTCTCAGTACAAATGTCTTCCCCAAGCCTTGAGAGTTGTATAATGAACTGGGTAACACTGTTGATGAACATTTTAAAAATACTGAACAGGATGGACAAAGTAGAGTCTTTGATATAAAGCCATTGAGGGTAGGCTGTAACTCTGTCCTTCAACAGCAGTTAATTAACCTCTCTAAACCTCGAATTCCCACGTCTAAGGGAACACCTACTTCAGAAAATTGGGGGGGGGGAATAAATGAAATCACATGGACAAAATGCTCATGTCTTGAAAATAGTAAACTCTAAGACAGTTTCTATTGCGTTTCTGTGACTATTATATAACACAGCTATATGCTGTGTTATCGTTACTGTATTATACATGATATATTAGACTATTGCTGTACTGTATCACCATTATTATAATACTATTACTATAAAATTAACCACTACAAATGGGTGAATATAGTGCCAAACTAAATGAAACATAAATAATATTTCTTTTGGTTTTGGGGGGATTTTTGGATGTTTTGTTTTGTTTTGTTTTGTTTTGAGACAGGGTTTTTCTGTATTGCCTTGGAGCCTGTCCTGGTACTTGCTCTGTAGACCAGACTGGCTTCAAACTCACAGAGATCTGCCTGCCTCTGCCTCTGCCTCTGCCTCTGCCTCTGCTGGGATTAAAGGTGTGGGCCACCAATGCCTGGCTAAAACATAAATATTTCTAGTGATGATGGTGAGGATCATCTGTTAATCCCACAGATGTGAGGAAAAAGACCACATGGCCAAATTAATTAAAGCAAGCTTATTTTTATTCCTGCACTTGGGCTATCTCTCCCTAAGGCAGAGTTCAAAAGATCAGCATTGGACATGGGGAAGATAAGGGTTTTTATAGTTCAGGAGTCAGAGATTTCCAAATAGGAGATTTGGCAGGCAAATAGGCAGGTTACAGAAGCAGAACATACGCATAACAAGTTGGTCATAGCAACCTCTTGAAATAAAGACATGGTTGCAAGGTACTCATGACAACTTTTTGGGGAAAAAAAGTAGGGTTACAAGATGGTTATAAACAATTTTCTGAAACAAAGACATGGTTACCATTTCCTGGAACAGACAGTACAGAACCATTTGCAGTTAAGGTTACAGGTGAGGCAGAGCCCCATCCTTAAGAAACAAGATTTAATCAGAAACAGGAATCAGCCTAGTTTGTCTTTACTGTAAGGTAGCTTTCAAGCCCAAGATGGAGGCAGGCTGGTTCATCATATCCAAGAGAGATTTTGAAACAGATACTCTTAGCAACAAAAATAATAACCCCATTCTCTTAAGTCTAAAGCATACCAATGAGTCTAAAAGAATAGAAAATTACCCTATTGTCTCAGAATTTCTTTTCTAAACATTTATGGAACGCATTCATTAATTAACCAAGTTATTTATTTAATGCCTAACTAGAAACCAAGCTGAGGATTTAGCAGTGACACAAATGGACAGTCTTCCCACTTCCATGGCCCTTCTGTTTCAGTGATGTGAGCCGGACATAAATATTTATAATAAAATAATGTGATAAGATCATTTCAGTGGCTAGAGATATCGCTAGTTCAGTAGTAGAATAGTGCAGTAGCATAAGCGAGGTCCTGGCTCAATCGTCAACGCATACAAAGAAGGTCATATTTTAAATGTACCTTTTGAAAAAGTTTTAACATAAATATGTATCCATGGTACCATTACCATAATCAAAATAGTGACTAGGTCTGTCACCCCCCAAAGTTTCTTTGGGGAAAAGGAACTTCTTTACTCAGAATTTCTTTTCAGGAAAATTTGTCTGTAAAATTGCTATTTAAATTGAAACCTGAGGGATAAGAAGGAGACATCTAGGAAAAGGGAGTACAAACATGCAGACAGAACCACTGACACCATGCCATTAACATGCATGAACAGAGTGAAGATGTAAGGAGCATGTAGGCTGAGGGAGAAGGTGATATTACTAGGTGCTGCAGAGGCAGGCATCGGCCTAATCATACAAGGCTTTGTAAGCCAGAGTGGCAGTTTGGGGCTTTGTTCTAAATTAATTTGAGAACAGCATAGGGAGGTCAATGTTTTCAAATTGTTGTCTGAAAATATAGATACCTTGGGATACATGCAGCCAGGCCACTGGTCAGATATGCCTACAAGGAGTGAAGATATTTGAATTATTGTTTGAAATCACTTTCTAGAATGTAAAGGAATACTTATAGCTCAGCTATAGAAAACATAAATAATATAATTTTAAAATAGGCAAGATGTCCATTAACAAATGGATGGATAAGGAGAAAAAATATATATATACATATATATGTGTAATTATACACATACACACATACTATGGAATTTTATTCCTCCATAATAAAAAATGAAATGATGATATTTGTAGAAAAATTGATACAACTGGGACTTATAATGTTAAACAAAATAAACCAGACTCAGAAAGATAAATACTCATATTTTATCTGTGGACTCTGGATTTGTGTTTGTGGGTGTGGGTGTGTGTGTGTAGGTCGGAGGTAAGGAAAAGTTCTTGAGGGGAAGAAATAAGGGAAAATTGCAGTAATGTAATACATGCAACATTAAAAGAGAAGGTATAACTCTCTAGCAGGGTCAAGAAAACCAGCAAGAGGATATGTGGGAGTACTGTAGGGGAGGAAAGTGAATAAGAACAAAGTATAATTAATACATGTGTAAAAATGGTGTACTGAAACCTATTGCTTCCTGTGTATGCTAACTTATAAACAGGCAAATTATTTGGGTAGATATTTCTCCAGAGAATATATGCAAATGGCCAATAAGGCCTTGGAAAGGTGCTTAACATCATGTCATTAGGGAAATGCTAATTGAATCAGTACGATACCACTTCATACCCATTGATACAGCTGCAATCAAAACATGGATAGTGATAAGTATTATAGAAGATATAGAACAACTGGACTCTCCATACATTGCTGGTAAGGTGGTAAAATGCTGCAAACACATTAGAAAACAGTTTGGAAGTTACAACAGCTGGATATATTTACTGTATGACCCAGAATTTCCACTCATAGGTATATACCCTCCCCCAAACAGAAAACACATCCCTATAAAACATGGGTGTTTTGGCAGCACTGTTTATTATAGCTCAAAAGTTGAAACAACTTTAATACTCACCAGCCAAGGAACCGGTAAATAAAATTCAGTATATCCACTTAAAAAGATATTATTTGACAACAAAACAGGAGTGAATTGCTGATGGTGTTACAGCACAGCTATACCATACAGTTGTGTTAAGTGAGATGAGGATGGTTGGTTTCAATTAGTGATGCTGAGGTTGTTTACTTACGGCTAAAACCAGACAAGCTCTTTTCTCCATGTTTTGTTCAGGAGTAGACTGATTTCATACCTTGCCTTGAAAGTTCTGTTCTGTTACTGGAAAATCTAGACCAGCCTGGCAGGCCACAGAGCCAGAGTAGCTGAGAGGCTGTATCCAGCTACTGCTAGCCACATACCTGCTTCTGACTGCATCATGCTGATGCATGACTCACTGTATGGTTGGTGCTTCCAGGGGAGTGGGCTATCTGATGTCTGCTCTTAGGTGACTTTCAGAAAGCCATAGACTTTCAATGACAGAGAGGGCAGAGACCTTCCACAGCATTTCCAGCGTTGCCATTTCTCTTGCTTCTGTCTCCTCCCTCCTGCCTCAGTAGGTCCCAAAGTGAGAGGATTAGGGAGCTTCCTGCCCTGACAAGGAAGCAGGTGACACATGTGGAAGGAATGTGATTTGATTATGCGGTCTCTCAGAAAACAAGATGTTTCCTGTGTGTAAGCCTGTTTGTTTCCCTTCTGATTACAATGTCTCCTCCATCTTCCCTACCTTCTGGTCATTAGTATGCAAATGTTTAAAAATTCAAAGTCAGATAGGAATGCTTCTTGTTATGGTAAGAAAAAGTAATACTTAATTTTCTTTCACATATATTGTTTCCCTGTAGCTCTAAATTAGGCATAATTATTTTCAGATACATTTTACTTATGAAAAAACTAAAGCTTGAAGTGACTTGGTATGTGATATGTGAGGAGAAACAACTGTCAGGCCAGTATACTGAGCTACACTGCCCTTACACATCAGCCCACGTCACCCTATACTCAGTTCTCCTCCACAGGCTTGTACTTTTCTTTTTTTTAATTATTAAATAATTAATTAATTTTTCCCAGACCAATCACAGTTTCCCCTCCCAGTCTGTCCCCACAACCTCCTGTCCCCCTCCCCCACCCACTCCTCATTTCTCTTCAGGAAAGGGCAGGCAGGCCTTCCTTGTGTATCAGCCAGCGATGGCATATCAGGTTGCAGTAAGACGTACCTCCCCTCTTATTAAGGCTGGATGAGGCAACCCAGTATGAGGAAAAGGGTCTCAAAATCAGGTAAAAGAGTCAGAGACAGCCTCTAAAGTTAGGAGTCCCACAAGAAGACCAAGCTATACAACTGTAACATATATGCAGAGAGCCTAGGCCAGTCCTATGCAAGCTCTCTAGTTGGCTGTTCACTCACTGTGAGCCCCATGAGCTCAGGTTAGTTAATTCTGTGGGTTTTCCTGTGTTGTCCTTGACCCCTCTGGCTCCTTCCTCCTCTTCTTCCACAGGATTACCAGAAATCTGCCTAAGGTGTTAGACCCCCGAAAACTCAAGTATCCGGGGTCTCAGGCCAGGTTCGCGGTCACCCCAAT